ATGTAGATTCTTAGCTCTGAGAAACCTGGCTCTGGTAAGAATACAGTTACTGATGGGCTTGATTTTCCCTCTTGTCTCATCAGGCAAAATTATATCCCCTGGTTATAGCAGAAGTTAAATTGTGGTGTGTTGGGACTTCAGTTATAAACATCTGGAATCTTACCTTTATTATGAAAAACGTGGGTTTGAAAATCTTTGCTACAGTTGTGGACATACCATTTAAAACTTTTGCAGATCCTTTTGCATTTGAGGGATTCACCATGCTATTAGAACATCTTTTTTCTAGAGTGTTACTGGAATAATTTTAGGTGATGCTTGGCCTGTTAAAGTGTTTCCCCTTTGTCAGTCTGTTGGAATTTCTTGAAGGGAAGGGGAAGAACACTTGAAGTGTATGTTTCTAACTTAAATGTCTTAATGAATTGCATTCTGGATTACTGAGAAAACCAATGTGATTTTCAAACATGATGAAACTTTTAAATACTTTATTTCCTGATTTTTACCTTAAACTAACTATAGATAAAATTTTCCAAAAATATTTAGGAGGCCAAGTTTTGCAAACTATTTCACATACTGATTTTTCCTGCATTTCTCTTAGCTATTCAGTTATGAATAATTCTTCTATTGCCTTCTAGTCCTAACCAGGTGGTGTCCTGTGCAGAATGAAACGTGTAGACTTTCATTCTTTGAACTGTCTTATAGTGTCAGCTCAAAATATTGATAAGTGAATAATTCTGACACTTCACTGGTATGTCCTGTCACAGGAGGAAGATTATCTTTAACGTGATTTCTTACAAGTAATAGTTTGTCATCATGGCTGAACTGTCTCCTGAAGAAATTCAGCTGAGGGCCAACCAGGTCACCGATGAGGTAAGTATTATAGGAAGCCATCTGGGATATCAGTAGTTATCTGCCAGATTACAGTATCTTTGAAACATTCAGAACTGTCATTATGTTAAAACTCTGAATTTACTTGATAAATACTGGAGCAAAGACTGCTCCTGAAGGTAAGAATAAATGTAAACTTCTGAACTGTAAAGCCTCCTACTTGACTGAGTGCTTGACTGCCCAGTCTTGACTGCCTGTGTTGCCACTTTTTTACTTTTTTATTTAACTAAAATTCATTTGAATGTATTTTCTTTTAAAATTACTTTCCAGTAGGATAAACATAGTACCAGCAAGTACTTAGTAAATCCAAGGGTTTACTAGCTACTGAAAAAAACCTTTAGTATACTGCCACTGTGACTGTGTTGTAGCCTGTATTACATATAGACAGGCTGATGAACCTTTGTATACAAGTTGCCTTACAGCAGTGAACTGGTAAAGAGAACTTTCAGACACTGACATGTGCTTTTAACACTCATTTAAAAATTCTCTTTCTAGTCTTTGGAAAGCACAAGGAGAATTCTTGGCTTGGCCATTGAGGTAAGGAAAAGCTTTTGAATTCCCTGGGGATATATTTAAATAGAAGAAGGTGCATGTTAACTATCACAAAGATCTTAGTCATGTTTTTGTCTTTCACAAACTTTTTTTCAGACATACACTTGATTATTCAAAATTGCTGCTTTCATTCAGTAGTAGAGTTGGAATGACTTAAACCTAATCTGTTTTACATTATGTCGAGTCAGATCACAGAAAGATTGCTATATTATTTATCTGTTTGCCTCTTAAGCAAAATTGCCCTATGTTGGAATGCTGCAGGTAACTGATCACCACAGAAGACTTCTTATAACTTATGTTTTTGGCTGCTGTATCATTTGCTTCTCATAATGTCTTCTGTATTTCTTTCAGCTTCCTTTGCCTGTGAAAATGTCTTGCTTTGAGGGGGATGTTTGGGCTCAGTTGAGTGGGCCAGTAGAGGACAGGGCTGCTTTTGGTTATAAACAGAAGTGGTCTTACAATCAGTTCACCAGTTTTAAAGGTAGTTAAGTATGATGATGAAGCTCTTAATACCTGTACAGGATTTGAAACAAATAAATCTGTGTATTGGATTTATGCAAGTGGCATTGTATGAGAAATGTTTTCCTTGACACTGTTGTGGCTTGCATTCCCCATTGTAAAAATGACTCCCAAGATTTCTTTTGATAATGTAACTTCAAAAACTATAGAGCGTTCTCTTAGTAGCGAGTAAGAGAGAGTCTCTGATAGCTCTGGTAGTCTCAATGAAGTTTGGAAAAAAACCCAAACCAAAACAAAAAACTCTTATCAGTTTGCTCAGGTACCCATCCACCCTGGCCTTGAACACTTCCAAGGAGGGGGCACCCACAGCTGCCCTGGGCAACCTGTTCCAGTGTCTCACCATCCTCACACTAAAGAATTTCTTCCTACTGTCTAACCTAAATCTCTCCTCTTCCAGTTTTACTTTATTATCCCTATCCTCCTGCTACAGGCCCTTGTAAGAAGTCGCTTTCCAAGAGCATGGAATGAGCCAATATAATTTTTCTTAGTATCATAATTTGGTGATCTATGTAAGCTAAAATAAATCCTGCCATAGATAGTTCTTTGCTGCCACTTTATGGTGAAATGTCATGCATTTTGCGTGCTACATTCAAGACCTTAAGCCTGCAAAGAGCTGTACTGTAGTATATTCATCACAGCTGATTTCTTTTGCCTGATTCTAAAATGAATTATAGGCTATTTTCTTTCTGATCTCTTCTGCTGAATTCTCAAGAATGGTTTTGCAGGCATTGTTGGTTTTTGTTGTTTGGTTTTTTCTGTTTTCCAGGTCTAAAGGCTTTTTTCAGCCCTATTGAAGGATATAGGAATAAAGAATGACCTAAATACCACTTTTCAGAACAAGGCACACCTAGGTTTACTCTTGTAGCTTGACAATGTCATAGTTTCATCTGTTTTATTATGGACTTCATTGACTTACCAAATTTATTATAGAGACCTTCTGGCTTTGCACTGGTGTATTGAAATCTGTTTTTATATCTGCAAATTTCTTTCTGCAGTCCCAGGATGTCGGCATCAAAACTATCACCATGCTGGATGAGCAGGGCGGTGAGTTCTTCCTTCTTCTAACAGTAAAAATCAGTTTGACTGTAAGAAAAAGACACATTCAAGTATTGCTGAAATTAAAGGCTTATTAAAGACTATGTGAAAATTAGATTCACTAATTGGTTATTCCTATGGGTTTGTCATATCTAAGAGATGTTTTAAGTAGTTAAGAGACCATGTTAGCAGAGGCTGTATTACATTCTAACTACAGAAGCAGTTCCTTCCTACCATGGCATGACTGTAGCTGCATTTATTCTAAAAGCAACAACAAGTCCCACTCTAAGGATCTGGAAAATATTTTAAATACAGAAAACAAAACTTATTACTGAATATATTTCTTAAAAAAAATAAATATATATCTGAGAAGGCAGGAGAGGAAATAGTCATTAGTCTTGGTTTAAAGATAGAAGAACATAAACTTGCGAGTTCCTGCTTGAAAGACATGCTTATGTCCCACCCATACCTTCCCCCAATCTGTGTTTATTCACATTACTTGTTTTTCTTCTAGAACAACTAAATCGCATAGAAGAAGGCATGGACCAGATAAATAAGGATATGAGAGAAGCTGAGAAGACATTGACAGAGCTCAACAAATGCTGTGGGCTTTGTGTCTGTCCTTGTAACAGGTCAGTTAAATGGGTACTAGGGTCTGAAGTTCTAGAATATTCCCAATAGCTACTGTGCTGGGAGTTGGTTTCTCATAAAAAACTAATGAAAAAATGCTGAATCTCTAGGAAAGCCAACTGTTTTGTTTCTTGGAGGTGCACTGTTTTAAAATTGTGTGAGAGTAGTTAAAGCTTATTTGCATCTAACTGTACATTGTGCCTTTTTCACTGAAAAGATAGCTGCTGGATAACATCCTGCACAATTGCACCCTAATCTCCTTAAAACTTCTACTCAGTAGAATACTATCAGTGTCCATGCAGATGAGACCAGATTGGATTGCAAATAGTTATGTGTAAGTGCCTCTCTGCTAGAAATTTGACTTAAGTAAAAGAACTTTTGTGCTAATTTAAAAGCAAGAAAACGTCTGTTTTGGAGAAGGAAAATAATATTGCTTCTCTAAGCATTTTAAAAATGTTCATATTTTAGGGAGAAAGAGAGTAGAACAACAGGTAATGGTATTAAAGCTTTAATCTTTCACCAATGACTACATAAATTCTTGTAGACCTGCTTCACAGTGCTTTTATAACATCAGTGTTATGGCTACTATATCCAAGTCACTGAAGAGTAATCTAATTTTTTGTACAGTACTTGATTTGTCCTAAATGCCTAGACACTGATCAGAAATCAGTATTATAAGAAGACTATTTCTTGAAGGTGTGCTAGCTTTATCTTTAAGCAGCTAAGTGTCAAATTGATTTGTGTGAATCGAATGTCATCACAATTCTTCCAAGTGAAGGAGAAATAAGTTATTTTAGCATGTGGCCACTGAAGTGAATAGCGTGTATCCATTTGTTCATTTTTAGCTATTTAGCATCAGCAAAAACCTTGTCATTGCACTGAGAGGTAGCAAAAATTTAAGTAAAAGTTCCTCAGAGTAGCTGAGTCTGCTTATCCGACAGAATAATATTTTGATAATTTAGGATAGACAGGGATGTGGATCCTAAGGCTGAAAGTGTTCAAGCTTTAGTACCTTGAAAAGGCAGATAGTTCTGTCCTGGCCTCTGGACAGAAGAGTTTACTGGTTTATATCAGTTTTATCAAGCTGATGGAGCTTTTTTTTTTTTTTTTTGACACATGCAGTCCTATTTCAATAAAGGTAAACAGCTTACTGACACTAATCAGGGTCAGAATTTGTGAAGTCTTGTGGCACTCCAAATACACATCAAAAAGAGAATGAATTGTGTACAAAAATGGGCAGCAATGAGCAGAAAATTTGACTAGTGAAGTAGAGGGCAGTGAACAAGAAGAAACAGTGCTTTTTCTATATCTACTGGTAAACCTCTTTTTCTGCTGAGTTACTTGTCAACTGGTTATCTCCAAAGCTTTTCATTTTCTTCATAAAGCATGAAGCTAAATTGGAGTACTTGCTGAAGTAAATACTGATTTTTCTCATTTATGCTAGGCTTAGATTATTTATAAAAACTCTGAAAACACAAGATACTGACAGTACTCTAATATAATCTATGTACTAATAACAATTTACCTGTTTGCTGGTCTTTTCTTTTTCTTTCCCATTCTCTCCTAACACTGATGCTTGCTTTCTAAAAATGAAGACTAGGATAAGAAGCTGTGTTCACTTAACTGCTGAAAGCGGATTTTAGGACAAGGTCAGTCTTACTAGCGTAGATGTGCATTTAACCAGCTGTCTGAAGTGATGCTTCTGTTGGATTTGTGCTTGCACATGCATGATGTCTGCATGCAGGTTTCCTTGTGACTGTGTTGTGTTGTAATACTGATGTGAATAGCAAATGTCAATTACTATAGAGTATATTAGCAATGAAGATGTTGAACAACTACTTGAGCCCTTGCTGGTTTGACAGGCTGTATAAATTGTCTTACTCTTACAGAAGTGGAACATAAGAAAAGTGAACATAAAGTAATTTGAAAAACTGCTTTTTAAGAACAAAGCTGCTCAGCACCTCATCTATTTAACTGTGCTTAGTTTGAGCAGCAGTTCTGTTTCTAACAGTCTGCTTCAGGTGTGCAAGTAGTTTTCAGGCCACTTGTTTTTGTTTAAATAAATTTCTCAGTTACTTCTGGCACCGAAGCCTTTGCTAATCCAGAAACCAAGCATACAATATTCTCCTGCTGTTGTGGCCTTCATATGAATGAGATTAAAATAAAATGCTTAGTCTAGTTGCAATAAACCTGAAACGGTCTTTTAGCCTATGTATGTACAAGAAGCTGGAACTGACTAGTTCAGGTTTCTTTGGAGCTCTGCTGGATTCCATTATGAACTGAGAAATTGTTCCTTTCTTCCACTTGATATATTTATACAAGATTACTTTTCATAGGGTCTGACCTATGAAGTACAGTTTCCCATTTTGATTACATAAATGTCAGAAGTAGTGGAATTTTTCTTCATTACAGCTAATTTCACACTTATTCAAATGCGAATCATCTAGGCTACTGAAAGGCACTATAGACATATAAATTAATTATCTGTAATTGTAAAGTTAGCTGTACTAAAAGACACTGCAGATTTCCCTTCAGGCCTTCAATGAAGCAGAAAAGTGGCAATGGAGTATGTATTACTCAAATATCAGCAAACAAGATGAACACAAGAATATTCTCAAAATGTTCCTTATGGTTCATGAGAACTGACTCCAATTTAGATCAGTTCTTTTCCTGTTGTATTTTTTCCTCTCTTGCTTTTGTAGGTATGTGATTCTTGAGATTGCTTCATGTCAGTGTGCTTTCTTTATTGGTTTTTTTCCTCTTCTGAATTTTGTGGTAAAAGTGTAATGGTAAGTTGTTGTTTCTCAATGGAGTTACTGCAATGGAATTGCTGAATGGAGGAGTTACTTAAATATGATTACTGTTATTTCATAATCAAAATTAACCTGAGAAACATTAACTTTAAAAAAAGACTTTGCAACAGAAAGTGTTTGACAAAAACCAGTACATATTAATGGTTTTCTTGCATCTTGTACCTACCTGTATTTGATGGACTCTGTTTCTTTGTCCTTATTTCTTCTCTCAAAAGTAACTAACCTTAATGCTAGATTAACTCCTGTTGTACGTGCTGCTTTATCTTACGACAGTGTAAGCTTTCCTGTGTACTGTCACAAGCTTCCCCTCTGGTGGTAAAGTGTATTACTTAAAGGAAACTACTGTGCTTGTAATAAAACTTAAGACAAATTAATCAGCTGTCCCTAGAGGAACTCAGTTATGTTTGTACTATCCTGATATAAGAAATCCTATTGTCTCTACAAGACTTTGTCTGTACAAAATCAAATCTCTGAGGCACAGGACATGTTTCTGATAATCCTAGAATAATACAAAACCCAGTCAGGAAGACATATTTGTGAAGTAGAAGTTCAAACTTCTTATTTTTATGGAGTAGGACGAAGAATTTTGAGGCTAGCAAGTCATACAGAACAACCTGGGGAGATGGAACAGAGAACTCAGCAGATCATGTGATATCCATGCAACCAAGAAGTATAAATCAGCGGCAGCCTCAGCCTTCTGGAGGACCAAGTGGTGGATATATTACAAGGTCTGTTTCTTCATATTTCTCAATCTCAAAAGCAGAAATTTTAAGTTAAGCTTCTTTTGTATACATTTTAGATGAAGTTGCTAGATAATCTCTTACTACTGCTTGGAGGAATGGTTACTGCTTGGAGAGCAGATGGCAGAAGGCTACACTTTCAGTATTGTATTGTTCCTCTTACGCCTCCAATTTTTTTTTATAGTGGTGGTCTTAGTCTTTTTCTGAATGTTAGGACCGTAGAGCTTAGTGCTCAGTTATTGAGGGAACTGTTAAAAGTATAATGGATTTTCATTGTCACAGAGCATATTTCAGACTAACTTGTGTTTTAAACTTCCTCTGGTAGCTGTTATTTTCAATTTCAGTTGTATTTTTGTAGTAGGGGCTTGCTTAGCATCATTTTTTGGTGGGCTGCTTGCTTGGAATACATGAGGTTATAAGAGGAAAAAACCTTGGCTTGAGTATGTTGCCTGTTAGGTAATTATGCAACAAAGAATTTCTAAATACGGGTAGGGAAAAGCAAGTTTTTTTTTTCTTGGAAACATTGTCTTACTTATTTGAACAGGATAACAAATGATGCTAGAGAAGATGAAATGGATGAAAATCTTGCTCAAGTGGGAAACATTCTTGGAAATTTGAAAAACATGGCTTTGGATATGGGAAATGAGATTGATTCCCAGAATAAACAAATAGACCGGATAAATTTAAAGGTAAGCATCAAAGGTGTTCTCTGTCTTCAGCTTAGAGGTTCTAACTGAGAAGTTAGAAGGAATGGAGTTGCTGTCATAACTATCTGTATTTGCACTAAACATGCATTAAGACTGTACCATCCTTTAGGTTGCTGTGATTTGAACATAAGTGTTTGGTTGTCTAGCTGGAAATTCACATGCTTCAGAGTGTTAAGAAACCTAAAAATGCAGCACAAGTCACTGCTTACTCTGAAATCAGCTAAACTTGATGGGATTAAAAGGGCAAACACTTACTGGAGGTGTAATTGGGGGATTGTTGCTTGCGAGGAATCTTGTACGAAGGGAGTAGGTATTTTAGTAATAGTAGGATTCTTCTGGGTTTCCTAAAAAGTCACAGCAATTATTGAATATAAAATAAAGGTACTTTACTGCTCTGATTTTTATGAGCAGGTTGATACTGGGGCTGGGGAGACTTCAGTATAGTAAGTCTTGTAGGTGCACAAGGACACAATCTGGCATCATCTGCACATGAAGTTAGTCATAGCCAGTAACTTTAAAATTGCTTTAAAGATTAACTTCCCAAAACAGGTTGATCATATGTAAGTATGTTTGGGAGGGGTTTTCTTTCACATGGCAACTTATGAGGAAGTTAGTCATATTTCAGGAATCCTCCATATTCTGAAATGCATAGAAATTCTTTAACAGGCATCCTGGTTAAGAACAGAAATTAAAGCTTTAATTAATACTGTATATTTTAAAGATTCAAAAAAGCAGAAATTAATAAAAATGAATGTAAAATTATAGAATTAAGACAAAATGCAAAGTTAAATGCTGAGTAGGTTTAAAAGCAAGAGGGATGCAATTTTCTCAAATACACAGATCTAGTCTTGACATAAATGCAGGTTATGCCTATGTCAGCATCTCAGTTTTGTCTGTTAATTTAAGGGTTGTAATGCTAATAAGGTAAATCAACATGATCTTATTGATGATGCCTTAATTGTCTTTCACTGTTGCCTGAAACTGCAGTTCTGGTGTGATTATCAAGTAAAATAACTTCAACATTTTAAAGTACACTAGAAAATTTAATCAGAGTTAAAAAAATTAAGTTATAAAGTAGACTGAAAATTGCCTGGTCAAATTAACTGCAAGTGGGAATTACTGGTTTTAATGGTAGTGTTTCTGGTGGTTTCCAGCACCTGTTTTAGCATTATGCTCTTTCATTATAATGGCCTTGAATACATCTTGCTAACCAAGTCTTACTAACTGTTAAAATATGATTAAACAAGTTCAAATTGCTTTTCAAAACAGCAATAAAAACAAAAGTGCAATTCCTGCCTTTGAGACTGGCAGCCTGTCTCAGGATATTTAAATTAATTCTTTTCTGCTGATAACTATTCCTAAGTTTAGTGAACAGTGTGGAAACTAAAGAAAACTGTTGAGGATAAATCCCCAAAGCCAGTTGTCGGGCTGTCAGGTGCTTCTGTGACTTCCCCCCCCCCAGTGTGGAGAGGTTTGTGAATGAGCCAGAGGGTCACAGATGAACAGCTGCTGCAGGATGGTATCTTAGAGGGTAGATCAGAATAGCCCCTCACCACGCTCACAAACTGTTACTGAGGTCAATGTTTAGTTTACAAATTAATTGGTTTATTAAGGGTCAACACAAACTGAGGGATCATGGTTCAGGAGAGGTAGTCTAGGTGTGTATCAGAAAAGTGATTCAAAGGTACTATGGTCTTATTAAATGCATGCTCTGAGGGAGAGGTGTAGGATCAATGGAGTGAAAGGGTAGGAGCTGAGCCTGGCAGGAAAGTTACGAGAGTGTGTGTGTGTGTGCGCATTTACCCTCCTTCTGTATCACGCGTGGTTCCTGGGCCACGGGGGACTGGCTTCCCGGTAACCGGAGCGACCACTCCCAGCAGCAGCAGATGCAGCAACTATGGCTCTAGTCCTGAGGCAGGTGCCAAGCACAGGCTGGGCAAGCTCCTGCTCCAGTCTGGTTTGGTTTAGGCTTGGGCAGGCAGCAATCCCTCAGGAGCGGGCACACCTTGGTGAGCAGGCTTGAACCCCCACAGAGCGGGCAGGATCCCTGGGAGCAGACACAGGCGGTCCCCCTCTTTTGGCTTCTCTGGGCAGCAGTCGCGGGGCAGTCCCCCCTTTCCCTCTCGGCTCCTCTGCACAGCGGGGCTGGGGTTCCAGGCGGCTTCTGGGGCTGCAGCAGGGTCTCCTGGGAAGGCACAACAGAGCACCAGCCTGCAGAACTTGCCGTCTTTTATAGATCAGAAATCACTGTTTAAGAAAGTACCACTGTTCAAATTAACCAATTAGCATTGGCCAGGTACGTACTCTGTCAGAGGCTTTAACCTGTTGTCCATTTTTCTGCCAGTTATCGTAACACTTATGCTCTTTCTTGCTGTGGACTCATCTGGTAGAACAGGGGGCCTGTTCAGTCTATCCTTGGCTAAATCAGCAAAAAGATACCACTCGTATTTTGCTGGCTTGAAAGACATTTTGTTTAGTCTTACGTGGGGGGAGAGAAGATGGACCATTCCCCACACCAGTACCATGTGAAGAAACAAAGGGCAGTATTAACTGCAGAATAAAGTTAGTGCTGTTTTTTTTTTCTTTAAAAAATTAAAAATTGCAACTCACCTGGGAAATACATAGACTTGACTGGGTAACTTTGGGTAGACTGTGGTGTGCAGGACTCCTAGTCTGAATAAACACCAAATAAAAGCTTATGTTACTGGCTTTGTCTTAAAAGATTGTCTAGTAGCTAGATCAATGAGTGTCACTTATCCATAGTAGATTCTTGCCCTCCCCAACCTTTAATCTGAAAGGCTTGAACTGCCAGTGTCCCCTTCCCAGCTCATTGCAGTGTAAAGGCATGCTGATAGCTGGCAGAGGTAAAGCTTCTCAGCAAGTTCCATTCCTTATGGTGAGGGAAGGGACTAGTTTTGTGCTTCTTATCCCTCCTGCTTATTTCAGAGCTCCTTTTTGTACTTCTCAGTGAAGTTATGTTGATGCTTGCTCAGCCTAGATGCTGTGTCTGACTTGATGCTTTATAATAGTAAAACAATTATGAAGTCCTTTTCTTACTGATACATATTATTATGACACCAGAACACTGTGGGGTATGTGCAAGAAAGCAAGGGTTTTGCACTAAGCAAAGAATTCTAACTTTATGTCCGTAAGTCACTTGCAATTTTGACTATTACTTCTGGTCCAAGGCAACAGAGCTGCCTTGTAGAAGTCTTTAAGATATATAAACACTTGAAAAGAGGGAATTTTTATCCCCTTACTCTGTTAATATTCTTCCTAGCTTGCTGAGGTGAGCTGCTCTGTGTTTTGAGGTTCAGCTGAAGACTAAAAACTATTTCACCTGATTTTGTTTCTGCCAAAATTGACAGCATATGCTGGCTAGGGAAAAAAACAAAGAATTACTTTCAGCTTATAAAAGTTATTCCTCTTCTGTCTGCCTCAATGATAATACCCTACAATTCAGAAATTCATGTCAGTTTGAATTTTTACATTGTTTTCTATGAAGTCTGCAAATAACCTATTCATTTATCTTTCAGGCTGATACAAACAGGGAGCGCATTGAGCAAGCCAACATCAGAGCCAAGAAACTAATTGAGAATTAAAGCCTGCTGTCACTTTCAATGACACTGTTTCTCCAGCTGCAAGCCACCATGATCATGGATCTGTGAAACTTCTCCTATTCTGAAATAAGAGGGGCTGGGAAAAATGAAGCAGTATCTTTTTCTATAGGGATTAATTTTCTCTTATTGCTTCATGTAAACGTGGCCTTGACTCCAAGAAAGCAGCAAACATAACTTCCTCCTACTCATCTGCCTTCACTTTCTTTAAACTGCTCAGGGCTAGAAGTGTTACAGCTTTGAGAATCTTCTTGCATGTTTTATTCCCCTCACAGTGTTTTGTTTTTTGGGTTTTTTTGTTTTGTTCTGGGTTTTTTTTCCTTCCTGCACCCAATATACGATCCTTTATTGAAGTTCAACAAGCAGGGTAACCTGAATTCACAGTTGTGGAAGGTTGGAGAGGACACTTTGCACTGTCTGAAATACCTCATAAGTTCAGTGTCTTCACTAAGATAGTGACTTGGTGAATATTGTCTGACTTGTATCTCTAACGGGCTAACTATAATTTTACAATCCAAACCACGTGATTGGTTTGGGGTTGTGTTTGTGAATTACAGAATTGAAGAGGCCCACTACTTATTACTTGTGGGTTGAGGGCTTTAAAACACTTCCTAACCACATGAACCCTTAATGTAAAGGTAACTCAAGCGATATACAGGTTTTCCTTTCTTTACTGTAAATTGATGTCTGTTTGGAGGTCATGACTAGTAAATCATGCTGCATTGTTCTGAAAGTATCTGTTGTGTATATAAATATACCTGATCTAAAGACCATGCACATATGAGTAGAACAAAATAGAACTATCTCCCTCTAAGTATTTATTTGATGGAAAATATTATGCCCCTCATCTAAAAGTTAACTTTCAGGTGTATGAATGATGTATTTTAACTGGAAGAAACTGAGTAGAAAAACATACAGCTTTTTATATCCAGTATCAGATTCTGTTTTGGCCAGTTTTCACTGGAGTTCAGTTGTCTTTTCTCCACTGCAATATAATGACTGAAATCTGGTGCAGAGTTTGCTCTTAGCAGTGACTTTGGAGCTTCTTAAACCTAGTGAAAACAGAGAAGCTTATTATGAAACTTGTCACAAGTCTGGAGGAAGCAGTGCCTATTTAAGAACTGTATGCAAGTTCTAAATAAACTAGATCAAAATAGATTCCTGGCTGGTTTATTATTGCAGACTTTGGAACTGGCAATTGGAAATACTACATGTCCAAGTGACTTGCAATTCATGTTCCTGTTATGTTTCAGAACAGAGGATTTTTTTTAGATCAGCTGAAGTAAATCTGTCTTCCTATGAAGAGGAAAACATTTTGGCTTTACTGTAATATAATCAGATTTATTCCCAGGATTTTCTTGAATATTTTTTTGTATTGCAAGTAAATTGCAAGCGACCTGTGTAATGTTAACTCCACCCAGTAATATATTATGCCTGTTATAAAGGTGAAAATAATGCTTTGGACTAACCTGTGATACTTAATGTTGGATGGCAAAAATCTTCAAACCAAATCAATTGGAGGAATAATCAAAACTAAAGCATTATGAGGTGGTTTTTTGGAAGGACAGTCCACAAGGATACTGTAGCCATTAATAATGAATCCCAGGCCTAGAGGGATGACACTATTCTGCTGATGTGTAAGGCAGTGTTAAGTGTTTTGTTTTCTTTTTAGTAGAAATACAGTCAGAGTTACTGGTATATTCTCCCAGGAAAACTTTAAAGGAAAAAAAAAAAAAGAAGCAACTGACCAAAGGTTGGAGCTGCTGCATGCAAGAAATAGGCCAGTGGTAGACTGTCTTACATGAAGAAGGTGAAATAATTTTTAGAGGACTGGTTACTTCAAAAGTGTGTTGACTTCTGTCTGGCTTCCAGTAATTGTTGGAAAGCTAATTAATTTTAAAGGTTTGTTGTCTGCCCATTAGTCAATTATGCGCTTAGAAGCACAAGTGGCAAATAAGAACATTACTTAGTACATTTCTAACAACCACTTGCATGGGAAAGCACAGGGGATTTGTACACTTCTTACAAACTTCAGGTTAAATGAAGGAATATTTGCTGCTGGCTGTGAAAGCAGAGTATTCATTAGTTATGATTGTCTCCTGCAACAGAAGATTAAAGTGGTTACCTTATTCTGCTTACAGCAGTGCAAACCTGCTCTGTAGCACTTGCAAGTTCCAAACATTGGAATGTTCTTCTCCCTTGCCATTACATGTCCATGTTCTTGAGTCCCCTGAGCTGTAACAACAAATTTGCATGCTGGCTGAAAGAATGTTGCAATTGGTGTATCAATTGTAATATTGTAATAAATACCACACAAGGAAATAATATCTGAGACTCTAAGCTGGAGTATTAATGCAATATTACTACTATTTTCTAGCCAAATCCGTGAGGGAGTTGGTGTCTTTGTTAGTGAACAACACAGTCTGCTTCTTGGATTGTCTTGCTGTTGTATATAGAATATATGCTTAATTTCTGTATCTGTGGGATAGAATGAACACTTGTACATCTCTGTATTTCTGAATGCTATTAAGAATGAAGGTTTACAGTTTCTGCTTTTAATTGTTAAAGTATATATTGTACCCAAAAAATACATACTTTTATAACTGAATGTGTTTTAAAACTCTTTTCTCTTAGCAATGTCTTTGTGTAGTTTCCTGTCCTTTAAAAACTTGGCAGAACTAGTTGCTACTGTGCAGCCAGGAAGTTTCCCTGCTATTTTTATTTCATAGAAATCCTGATGCTAACAAAGGAATGGGTGTGGTTGGGAAGAGAGGGATATTGTGATTATTTTTTTTTATGCTTTAGTTTTCATCCCTGCATAATCAACATCACCTATCTTCAAACTATGAAATGTTTGTTTGAAAAACTGATTTGACATGGGACTATACTTGAGGAAGATGAACTAAGAAACTTTGTAATCAAATGTCAGTAACAGATGCCTAGCAAATACCTAGTCCAGTAGATGAAATCTAGTGATTAAACCTACTACTGATGCAATTTCACTTAAGGCAATTTAAATTTTTATTTTCTTTGATGCTATATGGGGGTTGGACTAGATGATCTTTTGAGGTCCCTTCTAGCCCCTAGGATTCTATGATTCTAGAGCCTTGGAGTCCCAGAATGTACTTTTGGGGGGATCTGGGGGGGGGTGGAAATATAGACTTGTGTTCATTTGCAGCAGTTTTGAGCTGCAAGAGAGACCAGCATATCTGGGAATGGCTTGGAAGAATTACTTTATATACTTTTATTTTTACCAGTAACTAGGAACAAAAAAATAGGGAGAGTTTACATATGTAAGCATCGTAAGCATGCAGCATGTGTCCCATGAGTACACCTAAATGATGGTAATAGGTAAATTCAAGCTAGCCTATTCCTTGATGAAAGATGAATTAGGCCTCTTGACACAAGGGTAGCTACAGTGTGAACTGCAGCTTGTGCAGCAGCAACTTGGAGAACCTTCCTCTGTGAAGGCTGAATGGTGAAACAATTTGTTGTTCACACAATGCAGTGACTTGCAGTTGTTAATTTGCCTTTTGCTGCATTTGAAGCAGCCACGGACTAATGTTGAATGAACAGACATGAAAAGTGTATCTTACTTCAATGGAAAATTGTAAAGCAAGTGATACATGACTGAAATAAAATAAATGGATGGTTTCTATTGTTAACTAGGATAGCACATCAAGAATTCCAAAACTAAAATGCTGCAAGAGTAATTATGCATGGAAATAAAAGTGGGGATGGTAAAAAAGGAAAACTGAGATATTCCAAATATAAAGCTAATAGATTAAATGCAGTGCTGAAATGGACACAACATTATGCTACAGACTTAGTCATATTTATGTATTGCTGTGAGCTAAAACATGAGGGGGTATCAGCTTTTTTTTTCTTGAAACAGAAGTAGTCTCTCTCTGTTTTGGAGCCAATTTGGTTAATCTAGGACTAACTTGGCACTAGTCTGTGTTTTGCATAGTGCTTTCTGCCTTTTACTTTACAAAATTATTGACAGCTGTCATAAATCCAGGATAGCAAAGGAGCCTAACAATGACTGATAGAATGGTTTCTACATGTACTAGTGATCACATAAGAGAAATGCTGACTTGCTTTCTCAAGTACTTCCAAAAGTAGGGTTTTTTTATAGCAATGCGAATGCGTCATTTTTACATGTTCTGATCTACCCTTTCTCCTTGCACATCTTTGTTGAATAGACAAAAGAACCCTGATAAATCTAACAGAGAAGCAGCATGTCTGAGCATAGATATTTCCAGTTAAAAAAAAAAAAACAAACACACTAAACACCACCACAGCACAACATGGCTAAATGCATCCATATCAATAATAGACAACTTTGTAGTTGTCAGAGTTGAATGTAAAGGGGGAATCTGCTAAATGAAGTGCTTTGTTCTATGGATGTCTCAAATCTCTAGGAATGGGATTTATTGAGTGGAAGGATTAAAATTTCAAACACGCCTTGTGCTTTGAACTATTCACTGCTGGTTTGCACATCAAGCTGTGATATCTATTATTAGTATGAGGCTGCACAGATTTCTGATTCGGCAGGGCCTTGCATTATGATAATATGCAGGCTGTACTCTTAAGCACTTCCTGAGTTTGTGTCCTGGTTCTGCTGGGATAGAATTACAAAATCAATTTTCCATTCAGGGAAGCTGGTTTTTGAGAAGACTGCAGTACCTGAGTCTGTGAGAACAAGTTGATTTTTTGTTTCAGTCTGTGGCCAGCCATGGTGTGTGGGTTTCCAGAGCGATCAAGGTCTTTTCCTGTTTTGAGCTAGCCAGGTACTAGGGCTGGGAGGAGCAAAACCCAGGGCAGCTGACCCAAGCTGGCCTGACTGAAGTGTTCCACACCTTAAACAACATGCTTGCTGGAAGCTGGAAATTTTGCTGGGGATGGGGTTCTTCCTCAAAGGCTGCCATCCTTTGGGAGCCTCCTTTGTTTTTCTGCCCCTGAGGCCTGCTCTCCTGTTTGCTGTGACCATCATGCTCTTGCTGGAGCTGTGGTGCTTGCAATGTTTGACATCTGGCACCCGCTGCTGGGAGCACATAGTTCATGACTACCTTATGGGCTGAGTATAGCTTTATATTTCATATTAGTATTGAGATTATAGTGGTTCATTATTACTATATTAAATCTGTTTTCATTTCAACCTATGGGTCTCCTTTCCTTTTCATGATTCCCCATCTCAGGTTGGAAGGGGTCACTGGGTGATAGGACACCTGCCTAAACACAGACATTATGTCTTACAAAATGAAGTAGCCTTGTAAATACTGACTGCTGCCAGCTACTTCTTGCAGGAAGCTAGCAGGTTTTCCATAAAGTAATACATGAAATGGGAGTTCTTAAGTAAAACTGGTTCCCTGTTTAATGGATAACATCTATCTTGGAACAGGTATTATGTGAAAATTGAAGTAAGAGATCAACGGTCGGGGAAAGAGATATCTCTTCTGAGCATCTTCTAAATATTCACTTCTCTAACTTTAATAGTAGTTGTTATATTGCAAAAAAAGATTGGCACAGAGGTCACTTAATTTTTCTTAACTGCAGGTGGTACAAGGTGTTGAATACGTTTAATGATTACACCAGCAACTTTTTGCTGTCCAAATGCCCTTCTTGTCTCCTGTAAAAAAGCTTAAGTATAGAACAGTAGTTACTGTAAGACAGTCTTATTAGGAATAGATGCATCCATGCTTATCTGGCCAAGAACTATACTTAGTAGAGTTCCTACTTCACTGTTTCGAGCATGCAGTACATACTAGCTGAATTGCTACTTAAGTGTTGACATACTCAAATCCTCTGCTTTCATAAAGCAGTGGAAGTACAGCTGTTACCACAACTGATGGAACCAAGTACCTGGGTGGTGTCTTTCAGTGACAGTTTAGTACTACTTGATAAAGTGACAACAGCAGCAGTTACACCAAGTAAATTCAAAACTGATTTTCTGAAAATTATTTACTAAAATAAACAAGTACATTTTCCTTTTCAGAATAAGTTACATAATTGCATACATTTTTAGCTTTTTCTAGGTGCTTTTGGTAATAAGGCAGCAGCATTAGGCTGACAACTAAAACTTGCAGCATTGCTCTGTACACAAGGAGTCAGTGTGAGGATATTCTATTTTCAGCAATACATATTTTTACTGAATACACTGAAGAGTAACCTCATTTTTATTTTACACAACTCAAGCAGAAGTGGACTGTAGTGCAAATCTCATTTATGGGAAAAGAAAGCCTGTACAGTAAAATATGAATGATGTTCAAAATATGGTTTGTTTACCAGAAGAGTTAATAAAAACACTTAACTTAGTCCCAACTATTTGTGCTTCATAAAAAAACTTGCAGAGGTTATAAACTAAAAATCTCATCTGTAAAAGTTCTCTGTAGAATAGTGTTACTACAAGACATAGGTTTCAGATCTGCTTTGGTGATCAAACTTCCATGTGCTATCATGGAAAAATATTTCCAGAATAAATAATCCTCTTCCAAATCAACAGCCAGTTTCCTGACAAAAGGGAACTGGCAACTTTGAAATCCTCATTCCCCTTCTCTGTGAAAGAACGAGACCTGACAAAGGAGAACAGGTGGTAAAAG